GCGTTTGTATCTCTTCCATCACGCCTCCGATATCGGCTCTTTCTCTTTCGAGTGCTTTTGCTAACTTAGAGAACTTAATCTCCCAAACTCGGATCTAAGTGGATGATCGAGGGAGAGAAAAAGAGAGCGAGAGCGGCTGCTTGAGAGAGTCCAAAGCAAAAAAATGGAGATCGAAAGGGGAAGACATATGCTAAGTGTGTTTAGGTCAAATGTTTTATTTTTGGTAAACAAAAAAAAATGTTAGATTTATTTTTGGAGCCTAATTCTTTAGTTAAGCGGGGGATAAATTTTTATCTAAAATTATAAAAATTTGTGTTTTCTATTTCATTTTTTTACTTAGTAAAATTTTTGGAGGCAATGAAAATTTCAGATTCTCGCATATGCCTACAATGACGATTTTAGGGTCATCTCAGCTATCAATGAGGAAAGTCAGAACCAAAAACTAAGCGCGACCACAATTTTTTTTGGCGTCCATATCATAGCGTTTGCATTTTCGAAAATGCTATGTAAATTTTTTCACAACTCAACTATAGCAGAAACATCCAAAACGTTATACTGTACTGCTATTAATACCCACATTTTCTGTAGTGAAGGTTTATCTTCTCGGGGTTCTCCACAAAAGGGGTTATTAGCACGTAAAAATCTTCTTCTTTCAACACTCCATATTCTTTTCTACTGAAAATAAATTGAGAAAGAAGGTAGTAGACATAACGAATCGCCGGACGTGTAATCTTCGATGCTTTAGAAACTCCGGGCTTGATTTTATCGTTCCCAATCTTCAACCATTCATCATAATGAGCTTCATTACCACTGAACTTGATCCTATCATGACATTCAAGTCCCAAAATATCACAAAGTTCTTCAATACTCAAAGTGTAAAACTTTTTCTTAACCGTAAAAGCGAGAATTCCTTCCTTTGCTTTGACCATTTTCGTCTTGGGGTAAGACAATGTTACCGTAGTTAGGAATTTTCTTGCAAGCTTCCCATAAGTAGGTTGAGAGATAGTCACAAACTTTGATAGGCTCAATTCTTCAAGATACCATTCAACATCCTTTCGAATACCGAGTAAATCGAGAGTCTCAAAATCAATTCCTAGTGTTGGAAGCATAGCAAACTGTTCTAGACCAGCCATGTAGTCGACGTTGGCTTGCATCTCGGGACCAATGTGTTTCATGACAACAATGGGTGCTTCGGATACAACTAGTGTCGATTTGGCTCGTGATTCCTCTTTTTCTTCTTAGGCGGTGATTTGTGAGGGAGTGTTTGTGTAACCTCCACAAATCTCATTGGTTCTTGAGTAGCATCATCTTCTTCATCTCGTAGTTGGTAACCAAGTTCTTCTTCATTCTCCTCCACAATATCCTTTCTATGTTTCTTTGATGACTTTTTCGATGTGGTCTTAGAACATGTAGGGCTAGAGACTTGAGCTTCGTGATCGTGAGTGGTCGCGTGGTGCTTCTTTGGTTCATGTCTTCTCTTAGACTTCCTTGGAACAATTTCATCCTCTATTAAGGGAGTAATGCGGGAAATTTATTTGAAAGAATAAATGAAAAGATAGAGAATAGAACGATAGTACCGATTTTATGGAAATTTGTCCGTAATGGTGGATATGGATTGGTTATACGATGGGCTTTGAACAAGAGGTGATTTGTCCTCCCCAATAAGTCTTCCATGTTTGGATAAACAAGACTCCGCAAGGTTTCAAATCAGCTAGTGTCTTATAGAAAGAGAATCGTACCATGATAGTGATTTTTGGTCACTAGAAGATCTATACAAGGTATTTCAAATCGGTGAAATTTTCCTCAAACCATAGTGAAAATCTACTGAATTATAGGGTATTGTGAAGCTACTGGTGAAGTTTCATCACCAATGCTCGAACGGTTAAGCATACGGTCCATGTAGGTGTGGATTTTGCTCGCCGGAAGGTGTGTATCGAGTAATCTAAAAATCCGCGGATAATTTCTCGAGCCATATTGAAAACTCACCGGAAAACATGACTTTGTAGGTCAGTTGGTGAAGATTTAGTCCATTTGCTCGAGTGGTTTGGAAGTTGTCCCATAAAAGTGCTCGGTGTAATCCATTTTGCAAGCGTAGATGATGAAATTTTGGATTGGCTCGGACAAGCTGGTTTCCTCTTCAAGCACAGTTAAGTTGTGTCACAAGAATGGTTGAATAGGTCACGGTTAGTCATTGTTGCTTCTCCTTGTGTTCACATCTTATTGGAATGGTTCAGATTATGCGTAAGATGATTGAATTGTGCGTCCACAACGAAATCTCCTTGCTGAAAATCCTATTAAATATCAATACATCCTTGCAAAGGCACTTGAAATCACTTGTTAAGTTCATCGTGGATCGAAATTCCCAACACAATTGTATTGAGTTCTAAGTCCAAGGAGAAGAAAAATAGATGATGAAATCAATGAATGAGTTCAAATTGGTAGAAATCGTTAATCTAAGTGAAAGCAATGAAGGAATATATCAAGATGTGAAAGCATGTTTAAAACCAATTTAAGCTAGCCAAAATATTAAATTGCTAATGCAAAAATTTATGAATTAAATAATACTTTTAATAAATAATTTAATTAAGAATAGATAATTTTTAAAAAAATAATTCATGAATATACAAAAATTAAAATAAATTTGGTTCTTAAAATTATGTGTAAAAAATAGTTCTTAAAAATGGTTTTAAACCAAACGGTTAGGTGGTCGGCTCAGTGGTTCGAACTGACTCGGTTCGGTCGGTGGTCGATGGTGAAAGGCGGGGAAACCAGGCGCTAAACCGGGTCATGATGTGGCATGGTTTGGTTAGGTTGCGGCACGGCTTGATGGTTCGTGACGTGGCTCCAGGTGGGTGTGGTCGGTTATCGAGACGCGGTGTGATTAGTACCGGTCTGTGTCGTCGAGTGGCAGAGTCGCGGTGCTAGGATAGGTCGAGGTGTGGCTCGGGTCCTAGGCGAGATGCGGCACAAGACGTGGGACGGATGGCGGAGTCGCGACACGAGGGTGGGCGGGTGTGGTACGTGGACGTGGTCATCAGTCCAAGTATTGGGTGGTGGTAACACATGGGACGTGGGTCGTCGAGACGAGACGTGGGGTACTAGCGGTCGAATATCGATCGCGATGCCCGATCGATGTCGTGACCGTTGGTCGAGACACGAGACATGTGGCATGGGATGCTGGAACATCGGTCCGTGGCATCAGTCGACGTGTTCGACTAGTGTTCGAGAGGACTCCGGCACGGGATGATTTGCGGTAAGGTCGCGGTAAGGAGCGGTATAGAGACGCAGAGGCCCGACACGAAGACGGGACATGACGGTAAGGATGCGGTACGCGAACGGGACGAACACCAGACCATGATATCGGTCCACGTGCTCGACCGGTGTTCGAGAACACTCGGGGTACGAGATGATCATCGGTGAGGTCGCGGCAGAAAATGCAGTGGGAAATTCCGGTGAGGTTACGGCAAGGGTGCGGTGATGTTGCGGTGGAAATTACGGTAGAGTTGTGGTAGGATTGCCGTAGGGTTGCGGTAGGGTTGTGGTGAAGTCGCGGCATTTTTGCTCCCTCACCAGTCGCGATTTGTGAATGGTGTGACGACCCGATGCTAAGATGCGGTACGCGGGCTCGACCCGTTGTCGAGGTCGCGGTCCATGCATTTTCAACAAGTTTTTTCTTCGTCTATACTCATCGGAATTGAGGTTCGAAAGATGCTACAGAATCTTGAGAACGAGATCTTTCCAATGGTGTGAATATAATCTCCTGGTTCCTTGTGGCGTGATCTGGGGAATAGCTTGAAGTGGGCATCATGCATCGTCGTGACCTTCTTTGACGGTATTGTTCAATCGGTCATAACTTGCAAACCGTAATAGCAAATTATGCTCTGCTTTTTCCTGTGGCTTCGTGAGACTATCTATTATATGCTCGCCAAATTTCATAAATTTTTGGGCTGATATGGTGCTCCGAGTGTTCTTTGAACCGGAACAGGTCATTGTTCCATCTCCTTTTCTTCGTTCTTCTTAAAAACACATTTTTTTTTGTATTTTTATAAATTTTTGTAAAAGAATGAAAAATTTATAAATAGATAGAATAATGAAAGGTTGGTGATCTTCATCATTCTAACAAGAGATTCCGAAAGAACGTTGATTCCG